TGAGTCTGTATAATTTTGTTTGCTAGTATAGGTGTTCTGTGCCAGAAATTGCTTTTCGATTTTTCATAATGATAATTTTTATGCGCTAAGTTATTTTTCGTTGATCTTCTTGTTGGGGCTGTAGATTCTTTGAACTGAGCAAATTGTCTCCAATGGAAGTTGTATTGGTCGTTTATTATTTTATGAAGCAAGAGAATGTCGTGCATTTCGTGGTAGAGAGACAGTGGAAGCAGGTTTAATCTAATTAGTCTGTCTTTATAGTTGATGTTGTTACATGACAGTATCCAACGTGTAGCTTTTCTTTGGACATCTTCAATAATTCTTAATTCACACTTATTTGCTTTCCAAATGGGTGAGCCATATGACACAATTGGGGTTACATATCCACAGTAGGAGTTCAGTTTCATTTTTAAGCTCGCTGATTTTGAAATATTTCTTTTAATTAAAAATAAGCAGCCTATTGATTTTTGGGCTCTTATTTTTGCGTGTGCTGACCAGTTTAGGTTGTTGGTTATTTGTATACCAAGGTCTTTTTCTGAATAGGTTTTTTCAAGTATATGGTCACCGAGATACATGGTTAGGTCAAGTTGGGGGTCTTTGAATATTATATTGTGACATTTTTTCAGATTAAGACTCATGGAATTATCTTTGCACCATAAGTTGATCGTGATTAGGTCATGTTGGAGCAGGGAAGGGTTCGTTGCAACAATTTTATAATTGTCTGCGTAACCATAGCACGAGTTGGTGAGTGATGACGGTAAATCGTTGATGAATGTAATGAAGAATACTGGCCCTAACAGTGAGCCTTGAGGTACGCCGCTACTAACTTCAAGATGGCTGGATACTGCCGCACCTATTCGCTGTTTTCTGTTGGTTAAGTAGTTTGCTAATAGTTTAAGAGCGTTTCCTGATATGCCAAATTTATTGAGTTTATATATGCACAAGTCGTGAGGAACTTTGTCGAAAGCCTTTTCGAAGTCTAAGTATATTGCCTGTAGAGACTTGATATTAGGGTTATCAAAGTCATCATAGATTTTGTCGAGGAATTGGAGAATTTGCAGAGTTGTCGATCGTTTAGGACAGAAGCCAAATTGGCTGTCATGGATTTGCGAGAAGATCTTTGGTGAGATTTTAAGGAAGATCAGTTTCTCTAAGACTTTGGATACTGCAGTTAGCAGGCTGATAGGCCTGTAGTTTGTGACCGATTGCTTGTCTCCATTTTTAAAAGTTGGGATGATTTGGCTAAGTTTCCAGATCGTTGGAAATGTTGCTTTGTTGGTGATGGTGTTATAAATCAGTTTTAGAGATGAAGTTATGCTATCTGCTAAATTGGTTAGGACTGTGTTACCGAGTCTATCTGGTCCTCTTGCTTTTTGGAGGTTTAATGTTTTAAGGATGTCGTATATCTCAATTTCAGAGAAATTGAAGCATTTGATTGAGCCAGGTAATTCAGCTATTGGTTAAATGTTTTCATTCTGTTTAATGTTAAAAACGCTTACGAAGTAATTGTTTAGAAGATTAGCTTTACCGTGCTCTGTTGATTCAGTTTTTTCATTCCAGTGCATTGTTTTTGGAGTACTTGAGTTTTTTCGTATGCTTTTAAAGTATTTTTGGACCTTTGAGAAATTTCTGCCCTTGAAAGTTGATTCTTCGAAATTTTTCTGATCTAATTCGGATAAATGATCTACAAGGTTTTCAAGTCTTTCAAGATTGCGGTTATTAGTATGAGTATTTTTAAAGGCTACTTTTTTTGATGCTGTGTTGAGTCTTTTGATAATATTGGAGGTTTCAGCTGTGATCCAAGATGCTAGGTTCATACGGTGTTTGGTCTGTTTTTTCATGTGTTTTTCTAGTGCTATATATAGCCAGAGGTACCATGAGTTGATTAAGTGGTCAATGTTAGAGTAGCAGTACGGTTGAAATGGGTGTTCCAAAATGTATTTGTTTGAAGTAATCCAATCGACGTTGTTTAATGAGAAGACACCAAAATCCAGAAAATTGGATCCGTGCTGTATGGGAGTGGCTTTTTCGTCATTGTGTGTAAGAGATGATATCGTGATTAGAAAAGGGTTGTGGTCTGATAATTCTCTTTCTTGGTGTGAGAAGTGTTTTTTCATATGGTTGTCTATCATGGTGTTTAAAATAATGTCGGGGTTGTTGCAAAGGACAATATCTAATTGGTCATGAGGGGGTTCGATAAACTGTTGAAAGTTCATATCAGTAAAAGTCTGCAGTACTAATTGTTCGTGTTTTTGGGTTGATTGCAAGGTTTGCCAATGCGTATTAGCGAAGTTGATGTCACCAACCAATAAAATATTTCGGCATTGAAATTCATTTGAGTAGTCAGTTAGCATATTCAATAGTTTGTTGAAGTCATCTGTGGATAGATTATATTTGCTTTCGTTCGGGGCACTGTAGATACAGCATAGGATGAGAGGTGTCGGAGTGTTAAGGAGGAGTCCAACGCAGTCCGTAGTGTGTATTTCAAGTTTTGTGAAAGCTAGGGATTGCTTAACAGCAATAAGCACGCCCCCGTGTTTCGATTTTGTTGAGTTGGTAGGTCTATCACATCTAGTTATTATGTGTGCAGGCAGAAAAAGCGCGTTGTCAGGGATATTTTTAGTTATCCAAGTTTCGCTTAAGCAAATGATGTCATAATCGTTCGATAGTATTATATTGCTAAGTTTCATACGTCTATTTATATCCAGTATACTTCGTGTATTGAATGACATAACATTCAGCGATTCTAGTCAGTTGTCATTTCTAGTCTGAATTGTGCTGTTTTCCTCCGGTTTAATTGTAACTTTTGTCCAGGTGTCGTCTACTTTTTCATGCAGTTCTAGGTTTCTGATTCGAAGATTTTTGGGGTTTTTACCACTGCTGATGAGATTTCTACGTTCTCTCAGGATGGCGTTTTCCAGTTTCATTTCTTCGACTGAGAGTTCCTTACTTAAAAAGACATTTTTGTCATAATTTTTGAGGGCCGGTGTTGATGATAGTATCAAGTCTATTTCTCTTGGACAGGTTACTCGTACCAGTATAGTTCTGTGGTTTGCTCGTTCTTCGCTGAACTTTCCCAAACGCTTGAGATCAGTGATATTGCATTCAAGGTTTAAGAATTTCATGATTTTATTTACCTCATCATAGTCATGGTCAAGTCTTTTTCTTCCATCTCTATTGTTGTTGTTGTTGTTGTTGTTGGGGATTCACAGCACTGCTGTTGGGATTCTTGGTCCCGGCGTCTTCTCTAAAACAATGTCCACTTGTTTCTGCACGTGATACAATCACAGAATAATTGCCACGTGAACGTTGTCATTTCTGAAAATCTCTCGTTTACAAATTTCCACATCGTGTTTAAAATTCTCGTCTTGAGGCCGATTCGTTTATCAAAATGAATATATGGTTCTAATCGATTTACAATCCTACTGGTTCTGAAAACAAATTCGTTTCTCGCTTTTTCCGTTCTCACTTTTCGCATCTCAAAAATTTCTGTATTTCTAGCCCGTGTGGTTCGCCTGTTTAACACTATTTCATTTCGTTCATTAGTTCTATCCTTGATCTCGGGGACCCCTCTTATTCTCAATCCTTTGCTCAGGGGTTTGATTGTGTTTTGCGCCGCTACTTGTGACCAGGTTTTACCCTGTTCTGCTATTGGCAGGCTTTGGATGGGATCTTTAATATTTTCCATTTTTGTCGAGACTTCGGCTACTACTTTAATTAATTTTGAAATTTCTTCTTCAATTTTTTTGATGTTTTCACTTTTGTCATGTGATGCTGTGCTTCTGATTACTTGATCTCTTTTTCCGTCGGACAAACAGGTATTGCATATCAGTAGTGCGTTGTTACCAAGTTCCAGTATTCCATTGAGTGCCACGGTCGAGAGGCCAGTGCAGACAACTTCAAGGTGCCTAGAGCAATTACAGGTGATGCAATTGTATATTGGGTCATTTTCGTTTATGGGTTTCTTGCATGTTTTGCAAGGTTTTTTGTCCTTTGACATTCTCAGTTTTATTTATGTTTACGTCCTCTTATCTCTGTGGAAACTGTGTTTGGGGGATGAAGGTTTAGGTAGTGTACTCGAGTCCTCAGGGTGGTACCTAAAGGGCGCCGATTGAGGACTGAAGTATCAGTGTTAGGGTTATGAAAACAGTTGTTTGGGACCTTAAGGGTACTTGATGACTAGCGGGAGAAAACGGTTTTATTTATAGATGTGAATTCACAAAGACATCAAATCGGTGACATTCGACCTGAACGCCGTCAATATGCATATCGGATTCGAAATTTTTTTGTTGCATCTGAGTGAGAAAATTGGCGGTTTTCGCGTATTAGTAGTGTTAATCTGACGATGTGATGATTCGGGAATGTTTATTTTGGCCTGACATGCTGAGTTTTAGAAATTCGATTTGAGCGTGAAAGACACGTAATAATTTGAGATTTAGCGACAACTGAAACTGCGAAAAACACAACAACAATATACGTTGAAAGGGACGAGACGAGAAATACGAATTTTATAGTGATTGACAACCAGTCCGAGTTGTAACGATTGTGCCGCTACAATCGTTACAAACCAACTTCCGAGAACCAGGAAGGGTGTTGGGACGACATGACCAGCCTTCCGGAAAGTAGACAAGACTGTTCTTCGTCCGGATTCAAGAATCCGGAAAGGACTCGGGAGAGAACTGTAACCCTTTATTTTTTTAACTTTTAGCTTCCTGAGTATGTCCTGAGTTGAATATAATTAACATCGAATTTATTTTCAGATAATGAGAAGCTAGGAGTTAAGGGAAAGGTTGATCCATCTCCAATGGGATTGATGATTTTCATCTACCGAATAAAAACAATAGTAATATAATAAATAAGTAGTAGCCCTGTTTTTAGGAGTGACCTCGTGGTCTGGGGATACTGAGACCCAGCCATGAGCTCACTCTTTTCGCATGTAATTAAGTTTATCTGAGCGTTCTGGCCGAAGCCCGAAACAGTAACGTTTTTGTCGACGCGATGTTAAAAGGACCACACAAAGAACTGACTTTGGCAGAGACAGTTAAAAGCATGTAGAGCTGTGTTTAGACGCTAGCCAGTCGTTTAACAACCTAGCTTTATTTTCCGTCGATATGTACTTCCGGGCGAATGTTACAGAATGTTACAGCATTGATTTTGTCCTCTGCTTATTGAAGTGCAGTGTTTTTTTATAGTTACCACCAAAGCAAAAATGTCTAAGAAAAAATCAACTGTTGAAGACAAACGACAAAAATTGATTGAAATTTTTTTCGAACAGTCGGATTTTCTCTCACTGAAAGAAGTTGAAAAATTTGCTATCAAGCAAAAATCGATACCTCCGATGCTGGTCAAACAAATTTTGCAAAGTTTAGTGGATGATGATCTGGTTACATGCGATAAAATTGGCTCTTCTAATTACTACTGGGCTTTTCCAAGTGAAGCAATAAAATCAAGAGACTTTCGATTGCAAGAAATAATCAAAGTTTTGGAAAATCAAAACTGTAAGTTGAACAATATCGAAATCCAACTTTCTCAAATAAAAGATATGCAACCAGGTGAAAGCAAAGAATTTGAAAGAGACCAACTGCTGTCTAAAACAATTGAAAAAGAGCGAGCAGTTAATGAACTTACAAAAGAAATAAAAGCATTACATTCAGTCGATCCGGAGTCCTTGAACAATTATGCACTGGATGCTCAAAAATTCAAGGAGAATGCAAATGCTCTAACTGACAATATTTTTGCAATATTGTCTTGGGCTAAAGAGAAAAACCCTACACTAGAAGATAGAGAGATTATGCAGCACATTGGAGCACCTGAGTGCGTCGATTTCCTCGATTGAAGGATATATAGTCAAACATCGGTTTTGTTGGATTGTTTGTACAATATTGTTTTATGAGTCAAAATAACTTATGTCATATAAATCATGGTTGTCGCTCAAATAGTCCTGCTTTCGAAATATTTTCGACCAAGCACTTTTTTGAGCAGAACTGTTCTTAAATTAATCATGGTCGTCATCTGAAACACGTCGCTGGAACTAAATCACTTATTTAGGCCGTCTGATTTTATCAGCTAGTCTGAAGTTGGATTTAAGTCATGTTTTGATTCCGGTTTCGACCCTTCTCGGTTTTCACGCTTTTGATTTCGAGCATTTTTATCTCATCAGAAGTTTTTATTATTCGTCATTTTTTTTATCATTTAATATTCGTAATCCGTCCTTATTTCAACCAAACATTTTGTTAAAGCTTCGATTCTGAGTTTTAACTTGCTGGAGTTTTGCTGTAATTTTTACAAGTGTTTAAGAGCAAAGCAAAAAATCTAATACAAAGTATGGTAATGTTGGCTAGTTGTGATTTTGTTGCTTTTCGGAAAGCAAGTGTCTTCGATCCTGTAACTTCTCGAAAATCATTCATTACCCTTGCGATAAGCAAGGCTTTTGCAACCGGGTACTAGACTTTTTTTCCCGTAAACAACTCTGTCCACAGAATTCGAACGTATTTTACTGTAGAGGTAAATGTAGTGTGATTGTTATGAACGTGTTTTACTGTAGAGGTAAATGTTCAAACGTGTCTTACTGTAGAGGTAAATGTGCTTGTGTGATTGTTATGAACTCCTTTAATAGTATTTTTGTGCCAAAAAAATGGTATTTTTCTGGCACTTGATTGTCGGCTTTAATTCCGTCGGCTCATTTTCCGAATGTTTTTTTTTCAATTACTTGTTGGTTTTTATATTAATGGTTGAAGTCCCACAAAATGTTTTGGACATATCTAAATCACTTTACCAGATTTTTCTCAATAAAAAAAATTTAAAAAAGAAAAATATATTGAAAATGTTCGAATTTGTTTTGACATTTAAAAATTTTGTTTGTTTTCAGTTTGCAATATAACTTTGCGTCTAACCTTTTATGCTTTTATTTGTTCAATCAGCTGTTTTCGTCATACCGTTTCTGGTGTAGGTATTTGTTTATGTGTTTTCACAAATTTCTCGTTTATTTTTCTGTTAACTTTTTCTACAACAATTGAAAATTTGTTCCCATTGCTTTTTAGCACATATTGTTTTGTCAATTCATGCTGTTTCAATTTAAAAATGAGAACCAAGCAAGCCTGGATTGCTGGCAAATCAGGAGTAATTAAATCCAAAATTTTTGATAATTTAAATTAAAATTGGCAGTCGAGATCATCGTTTTGCAAAGTCAATTTAAGTTGCTGTCAGCTAATTTTTTGTTCCTCCGAGTTTCTTTGTGTTAAAAGGGTACAAACGGGAACCAAACAAGCTTGAAGTGCTATCAAACCAGAAATTTTCATTATCAAAATTTTCGATAATTTTGTTCAGAATTGCTAGATGAATTTATCTTTTTTTTTCCTTTTTTGTTCGCAAATTACAAAATTGTATTAATTTTTTCTCAAGTTTAGTTATTTTGGTCTGTTTTTGGGCTCCATCCTTCTAAAAGTAGTTCAATAGCTTATGTTTTTTTAAATATTTGAATTTTTTTTGTTTGATTTTTTGGTAAATCGTTTTTCAGTCAACTTGTTGCCTTATCTGATCGGATTTTTTTAGAAATGAAAATCGGCGTTTTTTGGCTTCATAACTGTTCAAAATCATTTGATTTTCATAAAAAGTGTCTAGTGCTTGTGTTTTTGTTTCATTTTTTTCTGATCAATATTTTGTTGAACTCATATAAAACAAGTTTTGGATTGTTTTGGAATTTTTTCGAAAGTTTTTGCGAAATTTCTGCTGGTCAGTAGTGTCGTTTTTTTAGAATCATTTTTTTAAGTTCACCTTTGTTGTGTTTCTATCTAATTTGTGTAGGCTTCTGAAAAATTGAATAATGTTCGGTATTTATGTGTCTTTCATTTACTAATTTAACAAGAAAATCAGAGTTAGTGGTTTCTGGTTTTTTCATCAATGCAGTTTACCCATGGTTCGATCGCGTGACTTCGGAATACTTCGATGCATAGCAGGTAGGTTGAAAAAGAATGTTGGAGGTAGGCTGGTTTAAAACAGAAGCTAGAATTTTGCGTTTGTATATGAAAAACAGCAGACAATAATTAAAACAACCAAAGAAACGAAAGATTAAGGAACATGTTGTCACCGCAGAGAACATGTATCCCATAGCTTCACAGCTGGTAACAAAATCTTTTCATTTTTATTCCTTCTGGTTCAAAGGCACATTCTTGGAAATGCATGCAAACAGGTGGTGTAAGACAGACGGGAGTGCTCTGTCTGTCGTGTCTTAAGGTGTCTGCTCGTTTGACCGACGTAGCTGGGCAGGCATCCAGGGCGTTCGTTATATCTCACGGCTTCGATCTTTCCTCAAAATAATAAATCTAGCTTCCTCGTGGTAAAGTTGGTTTTACCACCCGTTGGTGGTTGGGTATTGCAGCAAGTTGGTCCGAGATGTCACTTCTGTTTCATGAACAAATTTTATTTCTAATCTTCTAATAGTCGTTTTTTGTCGTTGATGAGAGTCGATGAAAGTAGTGAAGACTCTGCTATATAACGTGATGGTTTTTGTGTTTTTTTTTAACGAAAAGTCTTTACCCTTGCGATGAGCAAGGGTATTGCAATCGGGTACTAGACTTTCCCCCCTTTAAATAACTTTGTTAACAGCACTCTTCTAGACTCATATCAAACAAGTAGTGGTACTTCGTTTGATAAATATTTCAAATTTCTTAGCGTTCCCGATCGACTTAATATGGAGGTAAAGAATATGCCTGGATGGTGAAGGTCCTCGGTTCGAATCTGACCATGACCTGTTTTTTCAAACGGGAAATTTTCTGTTTCAAATAAAATAGTCGGCCAATTATTTATCTGCTTATCTGTTGTCGGCTTAGTTGTCACATCTTGAAATCGATTTTTTTCGCAGCGCGCATTTTTCAATGTTTTAATGTTGGATTTACTCCTACAAAATTTACCGTGACCTCGTTTTTCCTTCGTTTTTTTAACTCGTTGTTTCGGACTATTTTTTTATCGGCCTAGTGACCATATTTTAAGTCGTATCAGGGGAACACAATTTTAACACTCCCCTTCGCATTTTTACGTTCATTGTATGTTAATCAATCGGTTTGTTGAAATTGTTTTTTTGGTAAATGGGAAATTATTTCCAAATTTATTGGCAAAATCTTAGTTGTTCTCAGAAACTTCTGCTGATTTTCAAAAAGGGGTATCAGTTGAAAGAACGCCTACTCCCATATGACCCTGCATTCTCCCTTAGAGTATCTTTTTATTTCACACTTCTGTCTACAGCCTTCGGAAAAGTCTGTGGGGGAATATTTGACCCATAGTTTTGTGATGGAATATTTGATCCATGTTTTCGAATTTTTTGACAACATCCCATCGCAAATCTGATTTTTTGGTTTCAATGAATAAAAAGATATTGTAAAGCTCCCTGTACAAGCGTTCACGCCCAAGTTTTTGATTTTTGACCATTTTGTGTCTTTTTTTTTCAAAATTTACCTTCTCAAATCTCATATTGTGGGTTCAATGGAGATGACGGGCAGTGGGAATCTCCCCTGCATTAGCTGCCACTCGCAAGTTTTAAATACAAAAGACTATCGCTTTCGGAAAAGTCAAATTGGACCATTTTGAAAATTTTTTGAATGTTATCCAAAACTTCTCTTCCATATCTGAGGTTTTGGGTTCAATTCAAAGAACGGATTGTAAGAATTTCAGTTGCTTCTGCGACTAAGCACAAATTTTGCTGGCACCAAAAGTTATGGCGCTCAGATTTGTTGACCATTCTTTCAAAGTTTTTCTTCTCGAAAACACCATTCAAAATCTGACATTTTGGGCTCAATCGAAATTACGGGTTGCGTGAATTCCTTCTGCATAAGCGTCTATGACCTACTTTTTTAAATTGTCAAATCTCTGATTTGTATCAAATTTTTGATTAGTGGATCGTTTTTTTGGACTTTTCTTGCTAACTATCCTGCCAAATCTGATATCATAGATTTAATCGAAACAACAGGTTGTTGAAAGCCTACGTTAATAACTGGCTATGCCCAGTTTGTTTAAGAAAGTTATGGCCGTTGAAACTTTGACAGTTCTTCAAAAATGTTTGACTTTACGCGAAAATTACAGTGGCAATTCTCAGGTTGTGTTCAATGGAGAAAGCCGGTTTTGGGAATCGTTTCTGCTTATGTGGCGACAACTTGCTTTGTAGACGAAAGTATCAATTTTAGAAAGTCTTTCGACCGTTTCTTAGAACTTTTGACCTTTTTTTAGAAATTTTTTGAGTTTTCTTTAAATTTACTCAATCAAATCTGTGATGAAAAGTTCAATTGACTAAATCGGTTGCGATATTTATTCCTGCAGAATTGCCAGCTTCTTATTTTTGTACAGAATGTTATACTCTTCCAGAGAAGCAACTATTTTAGTAGAGAGAAGTTTTGGGCAAATTCGAGTTAGCAAATTCGTTCAATATCATAGACATGCCATTTAGCTGGGACCTTAGTTGTTTTTTATCAATACATAAGAAAATTTTGTTCTTTTCTCCAGTTTTTTCAACATTTAAATTTTTTTGCAGCTCAAATTTTTTTTTCATGTTTGCTGTATCGCAAGTGATGCATGTATTAACTCATATAAATTTTCGTTTTATCTGATAATAAAATGATGATGAAAATTTCTTGTTATTGTTCTGTCACAAGTGATTCGTTTGTGTTTTTTGCCTAGTGAACTTTTTTGTTTTGAGATATTATTTTTATATCATGTTTTTTTTTAATCCCCGGCATGGCTTCTGTGTTTTCAATGGCGAAAGGAAGCGACTTGTAATCGATAGCTAGTTTTTTCGCGTTATTTTGTTTGGTCGGCTTACTTTTCATAGCATGGGCTTCTCTTCTGATTTAAGCAATTGCATTATAATTAAAAGTCGAGTTGTTATTAGTTGATTTCACAAATGTTTTTTTTTGCTTGAATGGTTTTAGTTTCTTTAATATCGGCTGAAACTCCTATATCGCGTCGGTTGAAACCTCAGCGGTCTCCACTCGATTCCAGTAAATGAGACGTCAAGTGATTCTGGTTGCGGCACCCGTTTCGGCGAATCATCAAGCGGTTCGTGGTGTTTCGCCTATACCGGATCTGCGGAACACCAGAAATGAACGGTTTTGGTTTCATAGCCGAAGCTGTCAGCCAGCGTCGAGTCGTTACTAGTCATCAGGAGCGAGCTCGACTGATTTGCTTCAAGGCTGATCCAACCTGAAGGCCGAAGCGTCGTCAGCATTAGACCAAATTGAAAATGTAGTTAGTGTTGTAAGAATTTCGGGTCTTTGAAAGAGGTGGTTGATATCGTACGGGATGTTGAAGCACTTGGTTAGGGAAGCTTGGCTAGAGTCTGTTGAGGTAGGAGTGAAGTAGGAGGGAGTAGCCGGGAGGTAGTTCAGCTAGGCTGGAATGGGCCTTACGGTTCGCCTACTTAAGTGTTGTCGGCTTACTTGGAGCTCGGTAAATGGTTTCAATTGTCTGTTTAATGCTTTCGATTATATTACTCGACTTCAATTGAACCTCATGCGAGACTAGTATCAAATTTTTGTTAATGTAGTTTTGTTTTCAAATATTTTTGTCTTCCATTTGTCCGAAAAACGGCGTTACCACGGGCAAACATCCGACAGTTTTCAAAAAGCAGGGAAAATATTCAATTTCTAGCTCTAATGACCGAAATAATAGTGAACTGCGCAGTGGCGCCAACGTGCCAACAGAGGATGAGACTCAATGAGTCCGTAATTATTATAAAAGTTTCCCTAGATGTTTGCCCTAGACCTGTATACGTTATATTACAAGTATTGTGAAGCTCGGCTTCGCCTTCGAAAATACTTGAAGGCTAACTTCTGATGGGCTATCATGATTTTCTTGAGCGACTTTATTGTGCGTAAAATTTTGTTATTTGTTCAATCCGTTGTGTTTTTCAGTTTCGCCAATGAATCAGATTGTGGATCTCTAACTGTCGGCGCCTGAAAGGCTTATAACCAGAGACAACGTAAGTTATAAGAGCAATGTTATCAACGGACGACATCTAATGTTCAGAAATTTAACACAACCAAGAAGTTTGAAGCGATGGATTGAATTTCACCATGTAGCTTTCGTTAGCAATTTTTTTTATCAGCTGATAATTTATCAACAATAAATTATTGAAAAAACAATTTTCAATACGAATGTTCAGTTTTCAGAAAATCTAGAATCTCAAGTTTTTTTTTGGATATGTTGAAACTATTGGAGTTGATGAAATAGAGTATGCTTGTTTCTAGGGCAAAGTTTATATTTCATTTATTTCTCATTGAATGGTTGACGACAATTATCCGTTTTTTGACATCAGAAATAAACCAAGTTTGCAGCGGTTTTTTTGAGGTTATGTTTTTGCATTTTAGTGCGTGCTTCGCCAGCTGAACATCGAAGCAAACGAGATATTGTTGGTTGCGTTTACCTCGCTTAGGAAACGCTTCAATTTTTCCTATTTTATTTTCCGTTGCTAATATTACTACAAGAAAAAATGCTTAAATTAATAAAACAACATACGAAAATAAACTGCGGTTAGAGATATTTGAAAATAATTAACGATGTCATCAAACGGGTTGATAGGCACAATCTACTGATTTGATTTCTTAGATTTACTTGGCGAAATAGAAAAGTTACCTATTAATCCAGTTTTTTAAATTGGGATAATTTTTTTATATCAATCATAATTTGCTCTGGAAAGTCAGCTTGAAGGCAATAAATTTTTCTGTGAAAATCGAAAGTCTTTGTATTAGAGTAAAAACAAGTTAAACCTTTTTTCTCGTTTCTCATGCGTTCATTGACCTTTGGGAATTTCTGAATTCGGCATCAATTATCTTTTTTAAAGCTTTTTTTCTGGCGATTAAGAAAAGGAAGAATCAAATTGCTTATTAATTTCAGTACTACTTCTATTTTCTTTCAAATATCGAGTTTTTTTTGAAAAATCAATTTTATTCTTATGAACATTTTCGGATTTTTGGCGGTCATGAAAAAAAACTGAAATCCAGATATCCGATAAGGTCTACAAATTAAATGACTATTTCCAGTCTTACGGCGGATAGAAATAGTTTCGCTCGTTAATTTTTAAAAGATTATTGAGCGAAACTAAAGATCAAGCCAAATAAAAAAAAATCCAATTGCCGACATCAAATTTAAATTATAAATGAGCGATATTAATTGAGAAAAAGTTCGTACAAATTGTTCCTGGATAAAAAATCATTTTTTTTCATAAAATTTTAGTAAGTTTTTTTGTAAATTGAAAGTATGAAGTGTAGAGGTAATGTGATTTTTGCTTGTATTGGTGTTGATGAATTTTTTTTTCATGAAAAAACCTTCAAATGCTCTAATAACTACATATGTGCATTCATACGTGTTGATATATTTATGAATGCACTTAGGTGTATATGCACCTTTTGTGATCAATTGAAGACTATCTGCTAAAAATTCTGCGCTCGAATTATAAAATTGTAATTGGCGCGAAAACACTTGAACGACTTCAGGTTTCGGAATTGGATTTTTTATGATTTACCTGTGGAATAAAAGTTTTACACATATTTAGTTTTGACTGGGGTTAAATTGTTGTTAAATTGTTCTTGAAATTTAAAGAGCCTCATTTTGATTTTTATTGTTCGAAAGTTGAAAAAAAAAATTTTTATTTCTTTTTCTTCACAGTTTTCCAATCTTCTGTTGGACCTTGTTTTAATTTCACTTAAATTGGGTGAAAACGGTTCGAATGATTTTTTTTTGAGTGGTGGATTTTTTTGTATAATTCTAGCTGAATGAAAAGTTAACCTTTTTTTCTCCAATTAGGCAAGTTTTAGCGTATATTTTTCTCCTCTTCCGTTTAAACGATTCAGTTTCGATTTTGAAGTTATGTCGATCATGATGATTTTCTGCTCTGCTGGCTATCTACTTAGTTTGTTCTATTGCTTTTTTGTTCAGTCTAAACATTAATGCTCAAAATAGCTGATGTGCAGATAGTAAATTTTTGAATGAGTTCGAATGTCCTTAAAAAGAAACAGTGAACAAGAAATAAGGAAAGAATAATCACTATAAGAGTTTTTAAACCAATACTATTTAATGGACTTTTAAAAATATTATATGCAAGATTACCAAGGAAAGTCAATCAAGTTGCGAATTTTCAACTAACCTCATATTGCTGATTTTTGTATACCTTTTGAAAGATATTGATGCTCTGTGCAGTAAATAAAGAGAGGGTTTTTCTGCATTTTTTTTTTTCATAAAGTTACATAAAAATTGACGATTTTGTGCAAAAAGGCCGGGCGAAGCTTCCAGTGGGTTGTTTCATGGCGTGATGTATATCATCAAAAAGTATCAAAGGAACAATGATAAAGATACGAATTATTAGCAACAAATCAACAATGCACAGCTCAGCAATTTTAAATTTATTTATTTGACGGGAATTTATATCCTCTGAAGGATATTGATGCTCTGAGCACAAAATTATCAAGAAACTTTTTGAAATTTTGTGAAGCTACGGGTCTTTGAATGGTGCCAATCTCGGATGAAAAATGCGAGCAAAATGTTTTATTTTATTTGAACGTGTAGTGTATATCGTGAACAAGTATCAAAGAAGTATTGAAGAAGAGACAAATTTTAATCTTCAATTGACAGAATTTTCATGCGATTTGAAATGTAGTAAAGGAAAAAACAAATTATGAATTTTAAAAGCATTTTAAACAACTATTTTTATACCATCTGAAATATTGATGCTCCGCACAAAATGATCTTTGAAGATATCTTGTGATATTTAGTAAACTAGAGGGTGTTGGAAATTTTCAATATTGAATGTTTAATGCGCGCAAAGTTTTTAGTTTTGTTATAATGTGTAGCGTATTTAGTACGCGGCGAAAAGAGTGGAATCCTTGGAAAATTTTTGTTAATTACGAAAAAACAATTGAGGCAAATTGATTGATCAGAATTTTTGTTATTTCCAATACTTTTTATCTTTACAAAAAAATTTTCAAACAGAATTAGTGGACTTTGACCCTCCATTCAATCATGTTTATCAGAATCAATTATGAATTGTTTAATTAGCAGAAATTGAACGCGATTTAAACTAACTCGTTTTGATTTTGAAAGTGATTTAAATCGAAAACTTATCGTCAAAATTGAAAAATGCGATTGGACCAAAAGATAAAGATTTTTTCAAGGAAACCACCGATTTATTAATCAGACGCGTCTAGGAGGGATTAAATTTACAAACATTAAACTTAATAATTTGAATTTCACGTTGCACCAATTCTATAATTTTTATAAGATAGATTTTAAAAAAATATGCATTGATAGAAGTAATTCTGAATCCTCCGAGCGATCTTCCAACTGGTAGCGATTCGCTTTTGTGAAACAGTTATTTTTTTCTTGTTAATTTTTAGCGAGATAAAATCAGCCTCATTGCCTTGTGGTAAATTATATTTCTTAATGCAGCCTCTCGCCGCTGATTTTCTGCCTTTTTGTTTGGCCGACTCTGGGGTTTTACCTGCAGAGTTTTTTTTGTTTCTATGCAGCTTTAGTGACACGTAGAATATTTCTTGGTTTTCTTGTTTTTTAAAGCAATCAAAAGATTTCAAAACGACTCATTTTTGTTATCATTAGTTAGTTCTGCTGGAAAGTTTTGTTTTTTTGATGCTCAATCAAGTTTTTATTTTGTCCCAATGTAAAATTTGTAGAAAAATTCTTGGTTTTCTTGTTTTTTAATATATAGGAGAAAGTAGACGTATTTGAGGTGTTATCGGAAGCTTTCCTACACACACATCAAAATTTTACATATCACTGTTCAATTTACCCGTTTCACAAAAGTTATGTTTTCTGATTCTATGATTTATAATGAGTTTATAATAAATAGTTCGATCCGCGTTCGGTTAACATGCTTACTTAGATTTTTTTAGATTTTGATTTGTCGATTATTTCTTTTAATGTGTCAGCATAAAACGAGTTTTTTTACTCCATCCTTCGAAACGGTATCAAATTTAAGCAGTGAACTTATCTTGTTTCTGCAAAAAATTAAGAGTAGCCGGTTGCTGCAAGTTGCACAGAATTTTCCGACCATGCGAAATTTACAGTGAAATACAATGGGAAAAAAACTTATTTTCGTTTACTTTTTTTTCAGTTGAATTCTGAGTTAAAAATTATATAAATTGAATGTGCGGAACTTAAATTTTAAAATGTATCTTTTCCTGTTGAAATTGGGGCAAATGAAAAATGCGTTTTTGTTCGTGCGCAGCTTTTTTCAAGATAGTTTATAAGAATCCATTTGCCTGATATTAGAGTTTTGTTTAAAACTACTTTTTGTGGCAAGCTTAACTTGGCTATAAGTTCAATCTTATTATTTCGGGTTCGATTAATCTTTTGTTTTAGGATATTTTGTCTTTTTTGAGGATTCTGAGCAGCATGGAATTTTGGTGCTCCGTCAGTTTCTAGTAGGGTTCAAAATTCATGGTTCTTTTTCTTCATTAGAAGTCTCCAATTTAAGTGTCAATTCTAGAAACTCGCTACTAATTTAATTTTCGAGTCTCTGATCAAATATTTGGATTCCTTGGTCGCATATTCCGTTCGGTTGCAGGTTTTTAGACATATCGATAATCAAATATAATCTAGATTATCTTGTTAAACAATCTAGGTTATGCATGTCTCTATTTTTCAGCGAAGATAAAATTTTAATCGTTGAAGTTTGTACCCCTCAAAAAAGTTCAAGGAAATACTCAATAGATATGCCAGCTGTCCTTAAACTGATTGAGCTAAATTAAGAGGGTATCTCTTGCTCGTTTCTCTAACGCAATTGGAATTTTGACCTTGAAATCTCATAAAGTGTGGATCGTTAAAAAGCTGATGACATATAATACCATCTTTGGGTGACCTTTTGTAGAAAATACGATTAAGTGACTGCCACTAGAATTCCGAAACCCAATCGGAATTATCTTCAAAATTAAGAGTCGATGAATGGAGTGAAGACTTATCTGGGTCGTGGTGATTTTTTCAGGAAAAGGGTTTTTCACGCTCAAATTTGATTTTTCGGGGCTTGATTTTTGATTAAGTTCAATTCATTTCCTTTGTTAGTGGAACTATCAAAACGCAAAAATGTAAGGGTCACAAAAAACTTGATCGGCTTCTAATTTTGAAATTGGAATTCAATTAGGAAAAGTGAAACAAAAAGTTTACCTATTGATCTAGTTTTCTCAAATTGGGTTAATTTTATCAAAAAAGCACCAATCACAAATTGCTCCTGAAATTCAAAGAACTTTAAAGGCATATTTTTTAATTCAAAGTCGAAAGTTGAACTTTTTACAAAAATTAGTCGGTTTTTTTTTCTGTTTCCTTCGTTCATTACTCGTTTCCAACTGTCTGTTGGCTGGCTACGTTTTAAAATATGAAATTCGAAAGTTGAAATTTTTGAAAACAAATGAGTTTTTTTTTGTTTCCTTGCGTTCATTGGCTCTTTTCCAACTGTCTGTTGTTTGTTTTTATTTGCCTATCATAGGATGTCATAGTCAATTTTCTATAGACTAAATGTCAGAATAGGCAAAATGTCAGTATTAGATCTTATTATATTATTACCTATAAGAAGATAGCTGCAGATCAAAACATATGACTAATAATTTTTCATGTTATAAAACCACATGCAAATAGGTATCAAAATGATTAAGCTACAATATGGCACAGTGGTATTCGAAGGGCTTTCATTCAGCTGACACAATTTGGGGGCGTAATGAGTATGGAACTGGTGTCCACATTGAAAGTCGGAAACTTCACAATGAATGTGAATTGCCTCCTGATTTTTTGAAGGCTACGAAAAGTTGCTGTTCTGACCATTTCCTGTTCATGCCATGTCTGACTTACGACCCAATTTTACGGCTGAAAGTCACCAAAACAGGTGGTCCGTTTTCTCTGATGATTGCGCCACTTGATGATTCGTTCTTTGCTCGCACGACCCGTGACGGATTTTCCATGCCGAGTCTACAACCCCTCACCTGTCGCTCGGAATGCTTTCATTATCAGATCTGAAAATTGTCCAATCTTAAGGATGCTAATGGCGTTCAATAATGCACTTAAAATTGACAAATCCTGCGTCGCAAGCATAAATAAATACAAAATGCGGATTAATTTTCAAAAAGTTTTATAAACAGGATTGAAAAAAATTTAAGGTAAAACTGCTGGCTGTTAATTTCAGAAGTCTAAATTTGCACAAAGAGCGTTTATAAAAAAAAACTTGAAAACGGTGAAATTTTTCCCGATCTTTTAGTAACCAATTGATTATCTGATGTTTTCATGCAATTTTGTTAGCTGTTCTTAACTAAGAGTTAAAAAAAGCCAAGAATCTCACTTTTTGATTCCCATTTTGTTTTAAGATGAACCTAATGTGGCTAGTTAAGTGTGAAATTTTGACCATTAAATATTCGAAAAGAAAAAAATTGTCTTGTTTAATATTTTTTATAGATCTTTGATGGAATCAATGCTGCTGTGAGTTGCGGTGAATATCCTGGTTGTGAATATTAAAATCAAAAATCAAGTTATTAAAAAAATATAACATTTTTAGAAACTATGTTGTCATATTAATTTCATAGAAATCCGATTTTTTTAATATCACTCAAAGCAGTTAATAATTTGAAAAATGGAATATGGCTCTTTTTGGGATTGATCTGAAAATCAGTCTGACGTTAGCTGACTCCTGGTCTCCGAGGTGGTTCTTTGTGCAACAGCAAAACTGACGAGGCAGCCACACCTGATTTTCGACGAGTTCTGATTGCAAACGATTTTTCCGTGTCGTCTGTGATCTCCCTGACCAAATTTCTAAGGGTCACGATATTTGATTAGCAATCTTTAATTTTTACGAAGACCAAGAGAAACAAATGCTTTTAATTGCTAAACAAAAACTACAGCTTTACTAGTACTGTGGTGAAAGTTTAACCGCCAGCTCTTGTTAATCGAACTATTTCAAGATTTTAGTTTGGAATTATCTCAGTAATGCCGTAATCTGAATGATGAGCGTGTTTAGATTTTGCTTCGCAACTTGGCTTTTTAGATTTGAAGTTTGAAGATTTATCAATGAGTTCGGCTTTTTCTTTTTACTTTTAGTTTGTAATTCTGAAACTTCAATTATCTCCATTATTCTTAATAATCTTGCATTTTCTTAATTACCTTGCATTTTCAAGATTGGAAAATGTTGACCATAAAATTGCATTAAGTATTGGGGAAATATCTCATCCTACTAGATACCCATCCCCCTTCAAAATTAATATATATGGCGCCAAAAGTGAACCGAAAATGAATGTCATCAAAAGTACCCTAGGGGGCCCTTTGGGTAGACAAGGGTTGGAATCCCTGATGAGGGGAGGGGAGGATAGAATAAGAAATTTAAAGAAATCCGAATAAAAATGGATAGAACTAGAAATTTGATTTAAAATGATGTACCCTAGAAACAAAATGTATCAATAAAACAATTGCAGTAATGATTTCAATTTATTTCATTGGTATTGGTTAATATTAATTAAACAGCAGAAAAAAGGGAGCCGCAGAAAAAAGTAAATGTCTATATGCAAACCACGATGCGTTTCACCTATCGTTTGGAACCTATTAGGATTAAATATTTCCCCTCTTTGCAAACGGGGTAAAAATAGTTAGAGAGATCGCAATTTACGCATGATGAAAAATGAAAATGAAAGTTTTATTGCAAAACTGGTCGATATTACTGAGAAAGGCTGGGTATTAACACGGAACAGGTCAACGAAGAAGTTCCTATGTAATTTAGCCGCAAACTATGGTTCTTTTATCTGTTTTTTCTTTTAGCATAAATTTCACAAATATCAGACCATCTAGTTTTGAATTGTCGTTTTATTTGAATTATGGCAACCTTCCAAGTTGGGCTCTTTTCTATTTTACCCACTTGATTTTCGTCTGAAATTCAATATAAAAGTCTATTTAAATTGACTTTTCATGTTATTAACTTCATTAAAACGTGTAAGCGTGAACAGGTGAACAAATTTACAACATATCTTACATGCAAAATGCTATGTGAACAATTTTTGAACAGTTTCATTTGGTATTTGTATTTGGACCAAGGGGAGGGGAGGGGGGGGGGGGGTGGTATTGATCATGGTATTTTTATGAGGGGGATGAGACACTTGAAAAGAGCACCATGTTGATTTAAGGCTTGGATTATCAGCACTGCGTTGCTGGGAAATCGATTCAATTTCGTGATAAATTTTTCATTTTTCATCATTCAGGGTTTCAATTTTCTGGTGCACTTACTTGTATTGTATGAGAATGATAGTTAAGCTAGTATAAAAGATTGGCCGATACAAGTAAAATAGTTGTCAAAACCTGTAAAGATAATAAGGTATAATATTTTCTTCAGTTACCTATTTAAGTTTTGGGGGCCCATTCAATCCAACTAACTATCTTATATTTCCTTTTTGTCTTTTACTTTTTAGCCGATAAAAAGGTACTTTAGCGACCCAGTATTTAAATTAAAATGTGATGCGGGATATATTATATAACGAATTTTAATTGTCGGAAAAGTATTTTGAAGCGTGGCGATTTAAATCCGAGTAATAATGGGAAGAAATATTATGTGCCTCTGTGCGTTGATTTTGTATTTAATTGTTGTTTAAAAACGGTGGGGACAGCCGGGAATTGAACCCGGGACCTCTCGCACCCTAAGCGAGAATCATACCACTAGACCACTGTCCCATGAAATCTGCTGTCTGGCGTCTGTATATGAACAGCAATACAACCGCAGAACTGTTTTTAGATATATAAACTGCTTGAAACACAGCGAAGAATTGACAACAGAGCACGTAATTGTAAATACCAGAATAAGCTGTTGAGTTGAACCAAAAGCAAAAGAAAAGATCCTTTTCTGAGCATTATTCGGTGCAAATTCGAAACAATAAGCGATCGATTCTTCCGATTGATCTGAATGAGAAGTGATGCATCGTCCGAATGCTGCTGCAAACCATAAGATGAACATGCATTCCGCTTACCCCCCTCCTGCGTCTTTGGGGGGAATGATGGGGCGAGGTCGAGCTGGGGCTGGGGGCAGGGGCGGTAACCCGAACCCTGCCTTTTTCAATCAGCGTCAAGGCGTGTCTGTTGGCGGTGGTGCAATGGGAATACCCGGCAGTCAGAATCAGCGTCATGGGATGTCGCTGCCTGGCGGCGGCGGCGGAAACACCGGAGCAGTTGGCGGGGGAGGAGGAGGCGGCGGAACTAATTTGGGAGTGACGATCAGACTGCACGGATTGCCCCTGACTGCGAGCTCGGCAGATATCCGCAAGTTTTTCTCAGGTACACGCAAAAGTACAAAAAAAGTCAAATCTTGACTGGTAATTTTCATGCAATTTTTGAAGCGTAAGCTTGTTTTTTCTTATACATTCTGCCCAAAAAGTATTGTGAACATCCCCGCATTAAAGTTAAACGTGAAAGTTTATTTGCTTTAGCAAATTATTTCTTGTTCAACCCATCATATTTGCGAGTATTATTATTTCTGTTCTCAGGTTTCGAGAAAATAAAAATTTGGGCCGTTTAAGTAAAAGAAAAACCGTTCTGTGAAATTTGGGAGAGTTGCCAAGGGTTTCACAAAAAAGTTCGAATCTGCAATTATTTATAACGATCCATAAGCTTTAGCCCTAATTTTTGAGAAAAATAGACAATTTTTATCGAAATTAAACTTGCATAAAACTGGCAGTTATAGTAAAATTTCAAGTTAGTTCAGAATTTTTAAACATTCCAAAAGTTCCGAATGGTCGAGAAAACAATGAAGCTTCCCAATGCATAGGATACAGACGAGGTCTGAGAAGCCGAGAAAACATCTATTGATATTTGCTTCTACCCTGATTAAGATGGAGAAAGCGCATGTAATTTTGTATGAACTCCTAAAAAAACGGAGTTCTTGTAAAAATTAACTTCAGTTTTGAATAAAAACTTAATTTGTTTGCATGAAAATTAGTCAAGTGAAGTCTCAGAATATAAAACATAAAAAAAAGATGATAAAAAAGTTCGACTCATTTTAGGAATTTATTGTGATAAACTCGAGTAAAACTCACTAGTAAAACTCATGTTCTAAAAAGGGAGGTTAGTCGACTACTTAAAACCTACATGTGATAAAAAAAATGGAATCACTCATGCCATTTGGGCCGAATGCCCGAAATTTATGGAAGCCAATCCGAATTCAGTATTTTAAAATCTGAAAGAATTAATCGGATAATTAGTAAGTTTTGAGCAGTTCTTGATTATTTTTCGCACGCGCATAGGTTTTTCTGTCATAAGAATGGCCTCCTAAATACAGCAGTTAAATAAATAAACAGGTTGCTCGGTCGTTTGATGTGTATTAATGAAATAGCAATAACTGCTTCAAATTTAAAGCAATTATTGCTATCTCCTGGGGCAGTACAACAGTGCCAAAAAAATCAATTCAACTGTGCCGAAAATGAAAATTTTGTTGAACAGTGCCGTAAATTTGAACTAACTTCAACATATTAAGTGCGGCAATCAAAAATTAAATGGCGATCGTTTACAATCTTAAGTGACACTTTAAGATTTTGCGCAAGAAAATTTGCAACTTTGGCGCCAAAATAATTGTAAAATTTGCAGTTGCAGACATTATTAGCGTCAGACATTTCTTTGTTTATTAGCGTCAGTAATTTCCCGCTCTTTAGAAAATGCGTTTAAGTTATTCTGAAATTTTCTCGCCGTTTTCGGCACTGTTGAACGCCCCATATACTCATGAAAGGACCGAGCAACCTGTGTATATTTATTTAATTAAACCGAACAATAGATGGAGTAATAATCGATTATAATTGATTAAAATGTATTATATTTGATTATAATTTCAAAAATAGATAATGATCGATTATTAATTGATAACAATAAGCTTTTTCTCAATTTTGGTAAGACTGGTAAAAATCATAACAGAATCGATTGTTGAAACTATAAAACTATCATAAAATAATCAACGCTTGAAAATCGGTGCAGGTACTGTAAGGCGAAAAAATATTTAACTTGAATTTTCATTTTATTTGAAAATCTAATACTTAGGTACCGGAATTACAACTTCAATTTCTCGCCAATTGACTTTAAGGCAGAAGGTAAATTTTTCAAAATTGAAAATTTGAGAAAACTAAACATGAAATAACTAGCAAGTCTACTGCATTCTTTTATACGGACAGAAAAATTGACAATCGATTAGGCCATTTCCAAAATATTTCTCAAATTTAATTGACCAATGGTTGTCGGTTCAATTAGCCAACAATAAACTCAATAATTCTGCTCGGTTGGTATTCACAATTACCAAAATGATAAATCAGTCCCATTTGTACCGAAATAAAAAATCAATCGCGTTAGTACCAAAATATTCAATTGCCCAAAAACAGCCGATTTTTTAAAGCTTTTGGTTTAAGGTCGCCGGTGGGCGCGCTACGCGCGCGTTGCCGCTTTGCGGCGATAACCGGCTTTAATTTTCGTATAGAAACCTACCCTCTGCTGGCAAGCTCGCAACACAATGGCGCGACTGCGGTGGTCACTATTCTGCCTTTTGGTTTTCTTCTGTTTGAACATTAGAAAATTAATGTGATAATTCCTTGGCTCACAATTCGACCTATCAGAAATTGAGTTGAATAAATTTGGTACAAATGGGACCAATCTTTAATTTTGGTACAAATGAACCTTGGTACAAATGGGACTTCACCTTTTGCTCGTATCAGAGCAAAGCCCAAATATTTGTACTGCCCTTTAATTTGTCTCGAGTAGTTTCTGGAAAAAAAACTTTAAGATGAACAAAATTTTTTTATCATTGTTTTTCCTACCCTAACAGCCAAAATCAAATAGAAAGTAAATTCATTTGAACAGTTAAGGTAAATAAAATGTCATTAATAGCTTGCTTTAAAGCATAATGGAATGATTTTGATCGCAGAATAAATAGCCAAGATGAAATAGTTCCCTTCACTTGCCTCATTTTAATAAAAATTGCAAATAAACTAAATTTGTAGGCAAATGGAAGTTCCAAACGCCCAAACTTTTACCAAACGTGATCACTGGTGGTAAATTGTTTCATTAATTTGAACTCAGGGATTTTTTGTTTTTGTTGAAAAATCCTTGCAAACAAAAAACTGGTCTGAATAAAAAACAACGCCAGGCGTATATACTCCGTTAGTTTATTGGCAAAAAGTAAATTTGACGACCTATTTAAAATATTGGACCTTCGGGAGTGACCGGTTTTCCTATATCAGAGTTCTATCTCGATTCTCAGCTTTCGTAAATTTTCTGGTATCCTATTGTTCCGACTTTTTTTTCTGTTTTTCAAGTACAATGCGCTAATTGGCGTGAGAAAATTGCAATAAAAGAATTGAACAATATGTTAAAAACCGGTCCTGAATAATAGTGAGCAGAAAAGTGACAAATGAAACAATCAAATCTAAGTTTTTTGGATCTACTTAACAATCTCCCCCCCTATTGTGTCTACTTAAGAATCTCCCCCCCCCCCCCCCCCATGGTATCTACTAAAAAATATCCCCCCTTTCTTGAAAAGGGGGAGATTGTTAAGTAGATCCAAATTTTTAAAGTTGTTTAATCATTTAGTGGACAAAAAAAACAAAGCTGAAGCTCAATTTCAGATTTTGTTTAGTGCATCTGCATCATCAAATAATAAAAAAATTCAAGTTACAAAAAAGCTATATGCTTCATTCATTTTCGGATAAAGATCGATTGAAATCGAAAATTTCATAAGTAAATCGGGGTTTGCAAACCTGGATCTTAGTTTTTTCGTCAATCTCTATTCACCCACTGTACCTATTTGAGAAGCGACAACCGACGAGTTACAATTTGGTGTTTTTGGTTCTCAAGTCATTGAATATATGTTTTCGTAAGGATTTGAACATTTTTTGGTCAAATAAAAATAATTTTTTAGTTTTGGTAATAGCTAAAAAAATAATTGTTTAATATGGCAAACAACGTGGAGTTGCTGAAGCATTGAAAAGGTTTTTTGTTAAGCATATCGAATGTGTTTAAAATTAAACTGCTGGTCTTTTAATCTGGTACTTGAGCGTTCAAACGAAAAAAAATAGTGTTGCTTGAATATCAAAACGAGTTATGTCAGGACATGACAAAATACGACAAATTTTACGAGAAAACTTTATTTTATAAACATAAACATTGAAATTGACAAACAGTGAAAACTTCGCAATTTAGTTAATTAATGGATTAGCTTAAGCGTATTACAAAGAACAAGTTTGGTAGATATCATGGGTAGAAATCGCAAAAATACCACCTTTTCTAATAGCATCTTTTTTTATCCAAACACAAGATAGGACCAAATATAGGTATAGACAAATAGCTATAGAAAAATCTCTGTAGTTGAGCAGCGATGTTTAACTATCAACACTGCAACGATTAAAAGACTTGAAAATCGTTGTTCGGTCAGGAAGCACACAGCATAATAACCAGCAAGGGCAAAAATGAACAAATGTGACAATTTTTGAGTGTTAGAAAACGATAGCGCCGTTTGGCATTAAAAGAACTAGCAAAAAAACTATTGAGGACTTCTAAGCCAAATTGATCAAATGAAAAGCAAATGTTTACTTAAAAGATAAACTTTTATGCTTTTCAATGCGTACAACTTTTAAGCGAGATACTTTCCAAAAGAAGAGTTATTGGAACCATAACTCTTTTGAGTTAACTGTGTACAATATATCATATTTTCAGAATCATATTGAAATTTTTTTAAATCATCTACCTAATGCCGAACCTCTGAAAGCGTCGAACCTCTCATTTCCTAGTAAGCATTAATATTTTCGAAATTTAAGCTTTTCATACCTTTCGCGTACATTTTAATCAAAATTTTGGCTCAAAATATTTAGTCACAGTAGGAGGGCATAAAAGGCGTGAAGTTTGATGCACTAAGATAGCTTCCAATTGACCATGAAGATTTATGATCATTTTCGCTTTCAACAAAAAATGACCGTTTACTATCTCGAAGAAGATCAAATAATTTTGATGGTTAATAAATTTTAATGCAATCAGGACATAATTGAGTTATTGTAAGAAAAGTATCAATATTTCCATAAGAATTGGACACTACTAAGAAGTTTTTTAGTTGCATTTGAATAAGGACTGATGAAACGACCTTTAGACCATTCATTGAAAAAAAAAGTTTTTCAATTTTGTTCTATTAGTTGAGATAACAGGTGTACATTTAAATATTTTTTAAGCAATCACCAAGTGTACTGAAACAAAATCTACAGAATTGACAGAATGAACTTATTACCCGTACCGAGCATTTTTTTTTTCTGACA